ATGGAAAAAAAGAAATAATTTTATTTTTTTTCCCGCCTCAAAAAATTGCTATAAAAACTTGAGAAACAAGGAATAAAAAAAGTCTGGCGTTAATGTCACTGGCTAGACATCTCTGCAGTGCTGTATACAAAATGAATGATGTTTACTAGAGCAAGTAATTACTTATTATGATATAGCCATGGATGTAGTGCATTAGAAGAATATGGATGTGCAGGCATGAGTCTCAGAAAACAACTTACTGTTCCAGCCCAATTTCATTGTAACCCAAATACCAATTTTAAATATGTCACACGCTTTCTGTTTCTGCTGTTATGAAAGGCAAAAAAACAAGTTGTGAAAGTTAACAAACAGAAGTATGAGGTTGTCAGTTTGTGATGACAGAAAACACATCGAGATGGTGGTAAAATTGAGAAAGTTGTGCAAGGGAAGAGGGTGTAGTTTCATGTGATATTTATTTTGTTTCCCAGTCTCAATTACTGATATCGTACGCTAGATCTACAATAACGCACTAATATCAGTGGTGTCATGTATAATCTGGCAGTCAAATGGTAAGATTGTGGGCAAAAAAATGTTCTTGCAACATGGCAAAATTATTGGATAAACATGGCAATTGCAAAAAAAAGGCAAATTTCATATCAATTTGTTCAGTGCTTTTGGGCAAGAAAATATTCAAGTTAGTTTTTGCATACATAGCCCTAGTTGTCAGTCTCCAATGTGCTCAAGAAGTTTAAGTTTGCTCAGTGAATTGTAAAAGCATGAAAATTGGCTTACTTTTCAAACCTATGTACACCTCAAATCATTTTGATATACATTATAATATTACTTAGATGTGTGGAAAAGGTTTGAAATCACTTTTTGTGATGTTAAATGTTGCACACACAGAACATCATGTAGAGAAATCAGTGATGGAAGTGCATAAGCTTATTGACTTAACTTTGCTATTATTGTGCTCATCATTTCTCTGACTTAACGTGTATTTATTCATAAATTACCATCTATAGCCAATGTTTTTTTTAAGCTATTTTGGATGTTTGAAATTATAATGGAAATCAAACATGTAGACATATCCTTCAAATAAGTCAAAATATAGGTGGCCTTGTACTTGAATTGAAGAAGCCAATTATTAGTCCCCGTCGGACTTGGTCCCAAACAGAGACTTGTGTTTTGGATGACGTGTGTCATCATTTTTCAGCCGCCTGGACAGATTTTCTTCAAATCTAGTACAAAGACACAAGTCATAATGGGAGACGTGTGCAGATCGACTTATTTTTGATTTAGTTGATCTCTGACTGACTGGCAGCTGTTTTGGTCCCAAAAAACACCAAAAATCAACATTTGAACATGTAATCAACCGTTTCTCGGACATGTCTTGACTGATTTCATTCAAACTTGGCATTGACACCAGTCATGATGGGTTACTGATGCACATCATTTTTTTTTTGTGATTTGATTCTAAATGGCGGACTGGTGGCAATTCAGAGATGATTGTATAGATTTTAGTTGAATTTTGTCAGGATATAATGGATTAAATGTTGTGTTCAGTTATTTTTTGTTTTCATTAAAATTTAGCCGAATGGCGGCCATTTTCGTCAAAAACAATATAAAATCGCATAGTTGATCTTTGACTGACTGGCGGCCGTTTTGCTCCCAAAAGACACCAAAAATCAACATTTGGACATGTCATCAACCGTTTCTTGGACATGCCTTGACCATTTTTATTTAATCTTGGCATTGACATTGGCTTATAGATGTCCGTCATTGTTTACAGCGAAGGTTGTCAGTATACTCAGAGTAGTGTACTTCATTACCTATAGACTCGTCCTCACAAAGACCAAAAGCTAAATCAATAGGAAGGTTAACACTGTCGAACACGAGCACCTGCGGACCTTAACCAAGTTTCCCCAAAGTCGCATTAGTTAGTGAATGAATCTCAGCCAGTGGAATTGGCCTTCCCATTGAGTCTGTGGGACACTCACCCAGGGTAGGGACTACCCTTTTTGGTGTTGAGCCCGGGATTCGAGGATTTGAACTTCTGTTTCAGCAAGTTTAGTCTCCCTGTGCTTGTGCAATCTCTCACATCAACTGG